AGAGCTAAAGTGAATAGAGAGGAATACTGTTATTTGATGGTACATGGAGGGGATTTTAATCATTGTAATGAAACAAGGTGTATAATTTGTTGAATGTAAAGCTGATGATCTGCCCTGTAAACTTTCACTCAATTCACAACAAAAACTTAAAAGAAAATATATATTCATTTAAATGTCCAAAGGGCACATTTTGCAAGCCAGCCTCCTGCCCACAGACAACTGGATGTTGTGCTGACCAGAACTCAATCAGATGAAGATCAAGAGGCAGCAAGTGTAAATTGCTACAACTTGATATACTGGACTTTTACTTATGGATGAAGTTGCCCAAAATTCCGAATGAAAGGAAAGGTTTCCTTATATCAAGGATCAAGCTTGCTTCTTCAGTACACTGAGCTAATAGGGACGGGCAACTTAGACTTGGATTATCAAAATTTGCTAGTTTTTAAAGGAGATCTGTGACCTCATTGAGGATCTTGTGAAGGTAGAATAAAACTGACACTATGTCTCTTAAAAAAAAAAAAAAGAGGACATAGATCACTGATGATGTCAGATGGATCTTGGATGAAAACAGATAACACCAGAAAGATGTTTGTTTATTGTGTTTTATTGACTATGTAAAGGCATTTCTACTCTGTGGATCATAACAAACTATGGATAACACTGTGAAGAATGGAAATTCCAGAACACTTAATTGTACTAATGAGGCAGTCACTAGAACAGAATAAGGGAATACTGGGTGATTCAAAATCAGGAAGGGTTTACATCAGCGTTGTTATATCATTTCTCCATACTTATTTAACCTGTATGCTGAACAAGTAATTTAAGAAGCTGGATTATATGAAGGACATAGTATCAGGATTGGAAGAAGACTCATTAACAACTTGAGATATGCAGATGACACAACCTTGTTTGAAAAGGGTTTGAAAAACTTACTGATTAAGATCAATGATTACAGCCTTCTGTATGGATTGCACTTCATTGTAATGAAAATCCTCACAACTGGACTAATAAATAACATCATGATAAACAAAGAAAAGATTGAAATTGTTAAAGACTCCTTTTTTCTTGGATCCACAATCAATACTGTTGGAAGCAGCAGTCAAGAAATCAAATGATGTATTGCATTAGACAAATCTGCTGCAAAATACTGTTAAAAGTGTTAAAGAGCAATCAATGGTGGTATTTCCATTTGCCCCACATGCATGTGAAAGTTGAACAATGAATAAGGAAGACAGTAGAAGAATCGATGTATTTGAATTATGGTATTGGCAAAAAACATTGAAAGTACCATGGACTGCCAGAACTAACAAATCTATCTTGCAAGAAGTACAGCCAGAATATTCCTTATGAGAAAGTAAGGCTGGATTTCTTCTCTCGCACTTTGGGCATGTTGCCAGGAAGGACCACTCCCTGGAGAAGAACATCATGCTTGGTAAAGTGAAGGGTCATGGAGAAAGAGGGAGACCCCCAAGAAGATGGATTGACTTAGTGGCATCAACAATGGGCTCAAGCATAGCAACAAATGTGAGGATGGCGGAGAACCAGGCAGTGTTTCATTTTATTGTGCATAAGGGAATCCACTCAACAGCACCTAATAACAACAATAACAGTCTTTATGGGAGCAGATTGGCCAGGTCTTTCTCACATGGAATCACTGGGTGGATTCATTCGAACAGGCAGTCTTTTGGTTTGGCAGTCAAGCAATTAACCATCGTGCCTTCAGGGCTCCTGTTGAACTACATTTGACTAACAAAGGAATAAAACATATTGTAAATGTAGTATGGAAATGAACTTGATTTGGAGCAGCTGGTAGTTTCGAACCGCTGACCTTAAGGTTCACAGCCCAATTCATAACCACTATGCTACCAGAGCTCCTTTTGAGTCCCTGCTATATGTAAGGAGTCCCTGTGTGGCACTGCAGGTTAATGTGCTGTATTGCAAGGTCAGTTTGAACTGCAAAGTCGGTGGTTCAAGCTCACCAGTCACTCATCGGAAACTCTATACAGGGTCGCTATGAGTCGGAACCAACCCCATGGCACTTACCAACAACAACTATATGTATGGGAGTCCTGGTGTGGTGCTATAGGATAAGCACTGAACTGCTAACCACAAGGTCAGTGGTTCAAACCCACCAACCACTTCTCAGAAGCCCTATACAAGGTCTCTATGCATCAGAATTTACTGAAGGATACTTAACAGCATTATATGTATGACCCTTAAAATTTTCCTCATTTACTTATAATAATACATATGTAATATTAACTCCACATTATTAATGATAAAACTAAAGCTCATGGAGACTAAATAAGTAACCCAAATACACAAAGTTGGCATGACAGAACTGATATGTATTATCCTAAAACCTACATTCTTTCTACAAAACAAGATGGCAGCACTTTTCACTTAATCTTTTTAAAAGTAGAGAGTAATGCCCACATACATATGCTCATATGTGAGCAGTTTATTTTTATTTTGTTTTCAAATAAATATGCACTTTAGTTTTGAGGTGAGGTTTGGGTGAAGCAAATAAACTTGCCCAAGGACACAGAGTTAAAACAACATAGAATGTTAGCTTGAAGAAAGGTTTCTTGACAGGTAGTGTAGAATTTTCCCCACTATATTTTCCTTAGACTACTACTGCATTATCATGAATTCACCTTTTGTGTCTTAAACCATAAGACATTGGGCTTTCTTTTCATAGTTGAAACCTAGATTATTTACTATAGCTAATGGAGTTCTTCAATCCCTCTTTTTGGAAATTTAAAATTACAGCCTTAATGTTACAGCTACTTGACTGAAAAACCAACAATAAAAAAAAAAGAAAAACAGTATTCGCCATCCTTTTTTTATTGTCCATTTATCTTTATTTGGAAGCTTTTTACAACAAAATGCAATTGGTAATACTATAATAAATGACATATGAAGAGAGTGGTAAGATGGCCATAATTAAGTCTGATTCCCTATAAGGGCTTTTTATCATTGAAAAAGTGTTTTACAGAAAGACCTTTTTTAATGTAAGGAATTGCTTATGTCTCTGTCCTGTGGATTTAGGTTGCTTTGAATATTAAGGAGCATCATAGTGACCTTTACCCATCTTTAAGCTATAATAATAATAGATCACCATTATCTTACTTTTATATGGTATTTTGTGCTTTTGAATGCTTTTAAATGCATTATTCCAAAGGCATCATTATACTTAAAAGAGAAAAGAGAACAATCCAGCACAGAATGAACTGAATTCTGAGTCTGTTATGCTTTGTCAGATACAGAAAACATTGTTGGTAGAGATGGGCAGGATCTATTAGGTCTATCTTACAATAGTAAAGCAAAAGGCATTGTAGAGGGGATAAGAAATCCTAAATCTAGGGTCCAGGTAGAATAAGGAGCCCAAAGTTTGCCTTTGTGGATGGCTTAGGCATGCAAATTGCCTCAAGCAAATTTCACTGAACTACTTTCCTCTGCTGGTATCTTTCTCCAAATGCCATCTGAAAGACATCGTCTAGTTTCCGACACTATGTTTGTGACCCTGAACAAGATATTTAACCTTTTGGAGTCTCACTTTTTGTATGTCACATTAAAAGAAATTTTGAGATTGAATAATGTATTATATATTAAAGTTTGGCTGAATGTTGCGTCGTTATCTGTCTGTTATCTCTAGTACCTAAAGGAGGAGCAGCAATGTCAGATTTGACTTTAGAGAAATGTATTTAGTTTAGAATAGTATTAAAATTGGTTTATAAATTCTGAGTGAATATCCACTGCTAGCATGGAAATTTTTCTCAAACGTCTACTGGATAATGAAAAGAAGTCATCCATGGAACAAATACTTAGCTAGACTCCTGGGGTGGCACTGTAGGATCAACACCAGACTGCAAATCACAAGGTCAGCAGTTCAAATCCACCAGCTGCTCCTCAGAAACCCTATACAGGGTTGCTGTGAGGCAAAACCAACTTGGCAACGCTCAGCAACAATGACAACAGATCCCTGGTATGGTGCTGTATGATTAGCACTGGACTGTGAACCAAAAGATCAGCAGTTCAAACCTACCAGCAGTTCCTCAGAAACTCTATATAGAGTCACTATGAGTCGGAACTGACTTGAAAGCATTTAGCAACAACAACATAGGTAACCTATAAAATACAGAATGCAAATGAGTATCCTTGAGTCCTCCAAAAAAGAAAGGACACCAAATTCAACCTATTTTTATCATTTTAATTCTATTTCAATTGCTCATTGGTTGAAACCTTCCGATATTTTTCTTTTTCAGCTTTGACCTTGTAGCAGTTGGTGGGATCTCTGTCATCTTAACTTTTGACCGATCACCTTTCCTAACTGAGAAGAGGATCCTCTGGTTGCCTTGGAATCAGTTTATTGTGGTGGAGAAAGTAACCATGCAGAGAGTTGTATCAGACCCACCAACCTGTGATATGTCCAACTTTATCAGTCCAAATCCTATTGTGCTTCCTTCACCACTCACTTCATTTGGAGGATCCTGTCCAGAGAGAGGAACTATTGTTCCAGAGCTCCAGGTGGGTACATTGGCCTTTGAATAAATAAAATTGTAGTATCATAAGGCATTCATACCACTTATGAAAAGTTTCTTCTGGAAAAGGAGCTCACACAGTTGTCCCACTTGTCATTTTCTTTGTTTTTCCTTAGAAAAGAAGAAGAAGAAAAACAAAAACAAAAACATGTAGCATTTAGTGAGTACATTTGATTGGCACACCAGTCCTTTAGAGATGTCATTAAGAAGCATGAGTGTTCTTTCAGCAAAAAAGTTTTCAGAATGATCTAGGATTGCATGTTCCCTTAGGGAAATTAAATACTAAGGTGCAAGGCAAGGCACTAGGCTAGGAGTCCTGGTGTGGTACGATAAGCATTTGACCACTAACTATGAGACTGGCAGCTCAAACCCACCAGCTGCTCCTTGAAAACCCTATATAGGGTCGCTAAAAGTCGAAACCAGTTTAATGGCAATTAACAGCAACAACAATAGGCAACAAAAACATGGGAGAAAAAGTGAAATATGTACAGATGGTGATGCTGGAACCCTGAGCTTCATGAGATTGGACAGAGGTGTGGATTGAGAGCTGACTGGAAGAGGAAGCTGAATAGGAGCAGGGAGAGAGAAGAGAAATTGGTGGACTGCCAGTTGGAGTGGAGCAGTGCGACCATCTTGAGCTTTTGCAATGTACTGTTGATACAGTGACCTGCGACACAGGATGCAGCTGGAGGTTTGCAGCAAGGGGGCTGTGGGTTTCCCTTTTCTGGGCCCTCCTGGTAACCACAGGCATGCCCAGTCCCTGTCTTAGCCTCTGCTTAGGGTCAGATGCTGGGAGTGCCAGCCCTGTTTCTGGAGGCACATGAACCCACCTGAACTACAGTGCACAAACAGCGAACGGAGATTTGCGTTTACACTTAGTTTTTATCACATCCACCAGGAGACAGGTGATGAGTATCTGAGAACACTGCACACAGTCATCAATTAAATATAAACACTCACCAGAATTTCTCAGAGAAAATAGATAGTTTGACCTTACACGAAGAAACAAGACAGAGACCCTCAAACAAGTGACCAAAATATAGAGTCAGATAATATAATACCAGATATGGTATCAGAACTATTTGATAAGGAATTTAAAGTGCTACTTAGGTAGCTTCAACTCTTCAGTGAAAGATTGAGAAAAGCAAGGAGAACACAGGAAAAAAACTTTAGAAGAGTTTAGGAAAACACTACAAGAACAAATGACAAAAGAAATGAAAAGTTGCAAACCATACAAAAACAGCAATTAGAAAGCCAGAAGATTAATAATAAAAACTCACAAACAGATAGTATATTGAAAGGGCAAAGAAGTATAATTGAATTCCTGAGCTTGAAGACAAATTTCTCAATATTCATCTGCTAGAGGAACAATCAGAAAAAATAAATTAAAAATCTGAAGAAAGCCTAAGATTTATTTGGGGCACTATCAAGAGAAATAGCATACATGTGATTGGAATTCCAGAACAGGAAGCAACAACAACATTAAAAAATAAAAATAAAGAAAATTGCATGAAAGACAAAAAAAAATAGCCATTCAAGAAGTTAAAGAAAACACTAACAGGATAGACCTTAAAAGGAAATCAGCAAGACTATTTAGAATGAAATTTTATAAAACCAAAGACAAGAAAAAAATCCTAAGAGCAACTCAGGAAAAAAGAAAAGTTACCTGCAAAAGATAACTAATAAAACTAAACTCTAATTTCTTAGTAAAACTATGCAGACAAAAAGAGAATGACTTATACAAAACTCTGAAAGAAAAAAATTGACAACCAAGAATCATACACACAGCAAAATTGTCCATCAAATATGTCTACAAAATTAGGACACTTCCAAGTAGATAGATATTAAAAGACTTTACAAAAACCAGACCAACCTTACAAAAATACTAAAGGGAGTTCTTTGGTCAGAGAACCAACAATAGACAACAACCTGAGACCAACATACACGGCAATATCACCCAGAACTCAATTCAGATGTAGAAGTATTCAAGGTTAGCCAACCTGCAAGACTAAAAATAGGGAAATAGAGATACCAGTTTGCAAAAACTCATAATAAAAAAAGAGGGAATAACGTAGTTACAGAGCTTCTAAATGAAAAGGAAATCAAGTAGATTTCAAGAAAAATAAATAAATAAATAGACCTAACTCTAACCTTAAAACTGGATCAAGTCTTATTCCTGACCCTAGCTCAATCCCTACCCCTAAAACTAACCCTAATGATAACTATAACCCTAGCACTAAATGAATCCTGATATGGCGGTGTAGGATAAGCACTCGAAAATAAGGTCCATTTGAACCGCAAGGTAGGCAGTTCAAAATCACTAGCCGCTCCTTGGAAAATCTATACTGGGTCAATATGAGTCAGAAACAACTTGAAGGCACTTAATAACAACACTAAAGTCCTGGGCCTTGACCACTCTTAACCCTAACTCCATACTCCTACCACCACACCCCAAACACTAAGGTGCTAAATGTCACTCATTCTTTCACTATTGTTTTTCTGCTAATGGGCAATCTAAGAGGGAACTTATGGGCAATTCTACTATCAAATAACTAATGTGGTGGTGGTGGTTATGCGCCGTGGAGTCGGTTTGGACTCATAGTGACCCTGCACAGGGTTTCCGAGGTTGTAAATCTTTACGGGAACAGAAAGCCTCATCTTTCTCCCGCGGAACGTCTGGTAGTTTCGAACTGCTGACCTTGAGGTTAGCAGCCCGACTTGTAACCACTACGCTACCAGAGCTCCTTAATAACTAATGTGGGGGGAGGGGAAAATGGACAAAAAGTCAACAGGAGGAATTACTGTCCTCAGAAACTGAAGGATGATCCTAGACAAAAAGACACACCATATATTTAACAATCAGTTCTGTTGTATGTGCTAGTTTGAAAAAGAAAGAGGGGAAATGCTTTTGAACTAAAATTGAATGGGTGCATGAAAATATCCACACTATTGATGTCACCTTAAATGTGTTCATTAGGATAGGCTCTTTCTTCAGATGTTTTGAAAGACAGAAGTCATAGAACACAAAATTTTGTTTTGATGATTATTAGTTATGTTAATAACCAAATAAGCAAAAGCAATGATTTGAAGGCAAGTAGTAGTTTCACTCTGAGATGAATGTTTCCTTTAAAATTTGCAAAGGAATTAATGGGATTGGAGGAAGACTCAACAACTTGTGATCTGCAGATGATATAACTTTGCATGCTGGAAGCGAAAAGGACTTAAAATACTTACTGAAGTTCAACGACCACAGCCTTCTAGACAGCTTGCACTTCAATGTAAAGAAAACAAAATTCCTCACAACTTGACCAGTAAATAACAACATAATAAATGGAGAAAAGATTGAGGTTGTCAAAGACTTCATTTTACTTGGATCTACAATCAATCAACAATCATGGAAGCAGCAGTCAAGAAGTCAAATGACGTATTGTACTAGGAAAAGCTACTGCACAAGGTCTCTTCCAAGTATTCAAGAGCAAAGATATCACTTTGAGGACTAAGGTGCACCTGATTCAAGCCATGGTATTTTCAATTGCCTGGTATGCATGTGAAAGTTGGACAGTGAATATGGAAAACTTATAAGAATTGATGCATTTGATGTATGATGTTGGAGAAGAATATTGAAATACCATGGACTGCCAGAAGAATAAACAAATGTCGGTTGAAAAATGTACAGCCAGAATGCTCCTTAGAAGCTAGGATGGCGAGACTTTGTCTTTCACACTTCAGACATATTATCAGGAAGGCCTAGTCCTTGGAGAAGGACACCATGCTTGGTAAAGTGGAGGGTCAGCGAAAAAATGAAGATCACCAACAAGATGGATTTGCACAGTGGCAGCAGCAGTGGGCTCGGGGATAACAACAATTGTGAGAATGGCACAGCACCAGGCAGTGTTTTGTTCTGTTGTGCATGGGATCACTATGTGTTGGAACTGATTCAACAGCACTTAACAATTTGCTTCCCTGTCATAGATGCCAAGTTGGAGAAACTTTTCCCCAGCTGTTGATACAGAGAAATATGAAAGCAAAATTTGATTAAAGATTTGACTCTTGAGATAATTCCAACGTTCCAAAGAAGACAAGTTTAATGGCATCAGTAAAGATTAATTCTAGGGAGACCATACTGTTTGTCATAAAATAGTGGACCTGATTTTGGAATTCTTTTAGAGAGCCTAGCCTGAATAAGGCTTACAGCAATGGTTTTGTGATATATGACTTGACACCAAACAAGATTTTGTGTATGTATGTAAAAGAAATGGACCCCTTAATGGAGCTTATAGCGCTGAGTTGTTTGACATTCAGCAGTGTGAACTTTCCCAACTCACAAGCAATTTTTGGAAAACTGTTGAAAAGTGTAATTATTCTTTTCAGTCTTTCCCGGTAGAGGAAAGGGGAGACCACTCATTAAGGTCTGTTAGATTTCTTGTCCCCATGTAGATTTGGAACAAAATCTGGAACCTATGGTCACATAACCATACAAATATTTTAGAATAATAGATGCCTTGACATGTAGACATCCCTTAACATGTGTTTCTAAGACAATAAAGCATATATAGACAGGAGTCTATTTGGTTTTTCTTCTTTCAGGTTGTACAGGAGGAGATCCCCATTCCTTCCAGTTTTGTGAGGCTGAGTTATTTGAGCAGCCGTACCCCCGGGTATAAAACCTTGCTACGAATCCTTCTGACACATTCAACAATTCCTATGGGGATGATTAAAGTACACCTCACAGTAGCTGTGGAAGGGCGACTCACACAGAAGTGGTTTCCTGCTGCAATTAATCTTGTCTACACATTTGCCTGGAACAAGACCGACATCTATGGACAGAAGGTTTGGGGACTGGCAGAAGCTTTGGGTATGTTGAAACAATTCTATGCGGTGTTATTCATAAAATAGAAAATACTAGTTGCATATTAATTGTATTTGGAATAATTATGGGATTTTTTCTATTTAAAGGATCTAAGGCATTTTTCATTAAAACACTCCCTTTGTGTCTGTTTAGAATTCCCTTTACACACATTTTTGCTTCAAAATGATTTTACTTCCCCTTTCATGATGGCTGTGTACCAGTGGAATCATACAATATCTGACTTGTAACTGTCTCCAGAGTTGATTGTTGCCTTCTAACTGTGACCTTTGGTGTGGCATTCTTTGGGCCACATTTTTGGAGCTGACATTTAGACTGTCATTTCCACTTAGAAAGTACAAAATTCTAACTTACAAGTATCTCCACTTATTATTGCCTATGTCTAAAATGGTTAGACTCTATTAACTTGTTACTTCAGTAGGTTAAATAAAAAAAAAATCATTCTACTTACCTATTCCTTTTGATTATCTGTAATCTGAAGACTTTAAAACCTCGAATCTTATAGAGAGCAGGGACCTTAAGGGGTCCTTTGGGCCAATAGTTTTCAAATATCTAATTCTCTCAGACAAATGATACTTCATAAAAATTGAGACTGAGATTTATGTGCCAGCTTTTTTATTTTCCAAATACCTTCCTCTCTGTGGTTCCTATTTGCATTCCACCCACTTTACCATCACTTCTCAACTTTGTCCTTATGTGACTGCTGCCTTCATTACTTTAAATGATTGACCATTCATTGGTCGGCATATCTTACTAGTGTTGTTGCTTCCCCCACCCCACCCCGGCCACTAAATACCTATCTACTGCTTGACTGAAATTTTGGTCATGAGGGTGAGTTCCTTTCCAGACCTAACCTGAAGGGTGGTCACGTGCCATAGTCTCGGGTGCTTCCAGTCTCTTTTGGACCAGTAAGCTTGGTTTTATTTTTCAATTTTTTTATAAAAAATTTTGTTCCGCCTTTTCTGCTGCTCTGTCCAGGACCTTCTAATGTGAACCCTTCCAGAGCAGTTGGTAGTAGTAACTGGGCACCATCTAGCTCTTCTGATCTCAGAGTCATGGAGACTGATATTCATATGTTCCATTAGTCCATTGGAATAATTTATTGCAAGCCTCTTCAATTTTCATCTCTCTTCTTTCTTCCACACATGGAGAGACCAATAGCTGTACCTTAGATAGCTGCTCATGAGCGTTTATGATCCCAGACACTACTTGCCAAAAGAGCATGTAGAACATTGTCTTTGTGGACTATGTTATGTCAATTGACAAATGACACCCCCCCCCCTCCGGGACCAGCAAGTCATTGCCTTAAGGTATATGTTCCACCATGGAGTCTTGGTGTGGAACTGCAGGATAATGCAATAGACCACAAAGTCAGCTTGAACCACAAGGTAGGTGGTTCAAACCCACCAGCCACACCTCAGAACCCTATGTAGGACCGTTATGGGTCAGAAGTGACTTGACAGTACTTAACAACAACATGTTCCACCACATTCATAGCTGTGTTTGCAGGAAAGGTAAATACCCATGTATAAATATAATATATATATATATATATTATATATATATCAGTATTTACCTCTGTCCCCTTTAGTCCTTGCATACCTATCTGTGTCTTCACCTGCCTTCGTCATTCTTCTGCCACCCTCCTTCTTCTTGTATATTGCCCTCCCCATCACCGGAGTTAACATGCGTCTACCCTCACGCAATTACTCTCCTTTCCCTCCCACCCTTGGTAATCATCAAAGAATGTTTCTTTTACCATAAAAAAACTTTTCTTGAGTATTTACAATAGTGGTCTCATACAATATTTGTCCTTTTGTGACTGACTAATTTCACTCAGTATAATGTCCTCCAAGTTCATCCATGTTATGAGGTATTTCCCAGATTCATTGTTATTCTTCTACATTGCATAGTATTCCGTTGTGTGTATGTACCAGTGTTTTTTTATCCATTCTTTCCATTGATGGGCGTTTAGACTGTTGTTATCTTGTTGCTATTATGGATAGTGCTACGATGAACATTGATGTGCTAGCTTTTATTTCTTGTGGATAAATACCAAGTAGAGGGATTACCAGATAATACAGTATCTCTATTTCCAACTTTCTGAGGAAGCACATAGCATTTTCCAGTGGCTGAACCATTTTCCAGTCCCACCAGTGATGTAGGAGGGTCCTAGTCTCTCCACACCCTTGCCAGCATTTGTTGCTCTCTGTTATTTTTGAATTTTGCTATTAATGCTAGTGTGAGATAGTGTCTCATTGTTGTCAAGTAAGAAGAATTTTCAAAGAAAAAAAAAGAGAACGAACACTATGATCTACTATTGCCTACCATTACCATAATTTTGGAGTCCTGGTGTGGCACTGTGGGTTAATGCGCCAGCCTGCAAAGCCATTTAAACTGCAAGGTTGGCAGTTCAAGCTCACCAGCTGCTCCTAGGAAGCCCTATACAGGGTCACTATGGGTTAGAACCAACTCGATGGCACTTAACAACAACAACAACCATAATTTTATAAACACCATAAATGGGAAGGAGTCTATTCTAAGAAATGGTTGTAAACAACATATCAACCTAACGGTGACAAGAGAAAGAGAGCTAGACATTATTGTCTGTATTCCTCTTTCTCTGTGGAAGGCAGTGAAAACTTTTTAAAGGATCTGGCACTAGTCTGTAGATGCCAATTTGGGAGTCATTGATCATTGTGCCTTCAGTCAGAATCTCTTGGACACCTTTGGATAGATGAGAAGAATATTTTTTAAAGCCTTCCAGAGGAGACAGTTTTCACATCCTTCTTTGGAAGTTTCTATCGTGGTACAACTCCCATAGAGCTGACCTATATTTCTTAAACTACCATGGTGGTACCTCATAGTGACCCTGCCATAAAAAACAAAACAAAAACAAACAAACAAACAAACAAAAAAACACCCCATTGCCATTGAGTTCATTGTGACTCCTAGTGACCCTAAAGAGCAGAAAAGAACTGCTCCTGCAGGGTTTTCAAGGCTGGAAATCTTTACGACAGCAGACGATCATGTCTTTCTCCCACAGAATGACTGGTGGGAACCTCACAATTAGCAGTCTGACGCTTAACCCACTGTGCCACCATGGCTTCTTTCTCTGCTCAAGAGGCCCTCATATATTTCAAGAATTACCTCATCGGTGTTTTGCTTTCTGAGAATTCAAAAAATAGATATTATAAAGACAAATGGGAAAGTAAGAAAGGATAGGAAATAGGATCAGCAGCTCCACAGAGGCTTGTTCACAACTACAGCCTTGTTCAGGATACATTCTAGTTCTAGAAAGCTAGCATTCAGTCTGTCAACTCAGCAACAGGTTTGCAAGTTGTCCCCTCCATAGCCCCCTGCAGTGGTGAGGTAACTCAATCATACTGATAATGGAACTCATCTCGTGTCTCCAGTCACACAAGTGAACCTTATTTTCCCTCAGCTTCTCATTCCCTATGGTGTACTGATTTGCTCTGTTTCTTGAACTCATATTCCTATTAGGAAGAATTCTAGATGTGTGAAACCAGTCACTATGCAGTATAGAACACCCAATAAGGCAGAGTTCGACTGTTAGACTAACTGCCACTGAGGTGTGCTGGCCAGCTGACAGAGTCCTGCTCAATCCCTATTCCAGTGACTACAGTAGTTAACAGAACAACTCTGCAGCCAGACTCCTTCCCTGGGTTCATATCATCCATTCTTTACTTGCTAGTTACGTGACATTGGGTAAATTACTTAGTCTCTGAGTACCATAGTTTTTCCATCTATAAAATGGGTGCCAAAATGATACATTACTTATAGGTTCATTATGCTATGTGGATTCAGTGAGATGAGTAATATCAAGCATGTGGTATACATGGTGAGCACTCAAGTTGGTTGCTAGTATTATTATTCCAATTTTGCTATGGGGTGGCACTGTAAGATAAGCACTAGACTGATAACAGCAAGGTTGGTGGTGCAGACCCATCAGCCACTCCTTGGAATAACCCTGTACTGGGTTGCTATCAGTCAGAACCGACTTGACAGCACTTAACAACAGGGTATTGAGATCACATGGTATAAAGCTTGGAGTCTACACACAAGATGTCTGTTGCTCACATTCTCTAAGAAAAGGGCTGTGGATATGATAGACAGGCTCTCGCGCTCTGTTGGTTGTTTTCCGTTTGCCCTTCCTGCCATATACACACACAGTCTCTTCTCTGCCCTTCTCTAACTCTACTCTGTGCCCTGAGATATGCTTGGTGGTACTATGGGTTAATGCACTGGACTGTACAGTCAGTTTGAACTGCAAAGTCAGTAGTTCAAGCTCACTAGCTACTCCTCAGAAACCCTACACAGGGTCTCTATGGGTCAAAACCAACCCGACGGCACTTAACAACAAACAACAATAGATACCTGGTATGGACTCCGTTGCTTCTGATTTTCCATTTGACATGACCAATGGGTGACTTCAACTAGAGATTAGAGGTTGAATGGAAAGAGGTGCCAGGGCCTTTCTCCCCCTCCATGTTTCACTAGAATGTCGCTATAGGATAAACTCTGGACTGCTATCCATAAGGTCACACTCCTTAGAAACCCTGCACAGGGTTGCTATGAGTTGGCTTCAACTCGATGGCACATAACAACAGGCTTCACTGCATCACATGCAGTTCTAACAGTGACTATGTTAAATAATGGCAATTCCTGTTGAGTATCCCTTTTCTCTATTCCCAAACTCACTGGGCTTCGGTATCATCATTCCCTTCCCTTGTCCTTGCAAGCCTAAAAGGCTTCCAACTGTTGCCAGTCTCTGGGTGGGTCACTATCTCTTGTTGATTTCCTTAGCTCTGCCCATGCCTCTGTAAATAATTCTTTTGTTCAATTCTCTGCCGTGAACCCTTATGAGTGTGACATCTGCTTCCTGCAGGGATCTTGACTGATGGCTACTGAAAGCCTCATATTCTCCTCTCCAGGATACTATTCTGCAGTGTTTGCTTCACTAGGTG